AAGTAGGTTTATTGTATCTTCTTTTATCATCGAATATAAATCTTTGAAATTGTAAAACAAATTCACTATCATGAATAGTTAAATCTCTGAGCATCCGATATTTCTGTGCATATGGATTGACTTCCCTTAATAATTTTTCAATATGCCTTGTCAACTGAAGATTGTCTAAATTCATGCGTAGTTTAATAGCCTCCTCAACACTGTCATAAATATATATTTGTCCATTCCTTGGAGCATTGGTTGCTGAATTTAGGGATGTTGTCGCATGGTGATATACTTGTCCTTGAATTTTTATCAACGGTGGACCTCTGCTTTCATCTTGAAGAAATTTAGCACTAAAAGTGGCAAACGCAAATGATGAATTGTATACACGGATATTTTGCCTAAATAATTTTGCTTCTTGCTCATCAGAAAGAAGTAAGTTTTTCAAAAATAAAGGATATTCATGCAGCGGAGGTATATGTATGTTATCATTATGGCAGCAAGAATTAACAGAGCGCCCTTTTGCAGAAGCAAATCTCAAAGCTCCACAATAACTGCATTTTGAAAACATTTTGCCAAGACTATGTTTTGCCACTTTGATAGGTAACAATTTCGATAAATCACCAGCAAACTCATGTTGTTTTGATTTTAAAATAGGTGGATTAGGATTTTGGTCCATATCATTGTCAACATTGCGAAAGCGAATTGGTACAGTGTGCATTCCAACCACATTTTCTGTATTTACAGGTCTGGTTTGATGTGGGCAAATGAAAGTCGATGTTGTTGCGACTGTGTAGCAATTACACACATTCTCTTTTAGCTCAACCTTTGTTAGTTTAACTTTTTTTTTGTTAGTTGAATCATCATTAGGTTGTATAAGCAAAAGAGCATTATTTTCTTCTATACTATGAAGTTTACGTTTTTCCCGCTTTCGATTAGCTTTCGCATTGAGTTGCGACTTTTTAGTAATGTTAGGTCTTTTCTTTTTAGGCATTACTTGTAAATAAACAAATCGAATTAAGATTTAAAACCAGATTAAACTTACGAATTAACGTTTTAGAAAACAAATAATCAGATTAATCAATATATCAATACGAAATAAGTTGAGATGTTGTAAAACTGAAGAATGAAATTCTAACTATTTTGTGATTGGTTGCATCTCTGAAAAAGAAAATTCAGACTTGTAAATCGCTTTTTTAAGCTTGCCGTTTTCAGACATGTGATTGGCTGTTGTGAACGGCGGTTATTCTTCATTATTAACTGCAAAATCGTGCTTTAAAACTAAAATAAATAAAAATTTAAAATTATGTAAAAGATTTGAATGCCCTAAATGTCTTCCCTGAAAGATTCTGAATGAATTGATTCCTTAATCTTAGATTTTCATCACGTAGTTAAAAAGTTTTTCAGGGGACAAAATTAACTGCAAAAACTTTTTTTTAGAATAGAGAGAAAAGGCACGTTGAACTTCATAAAAAATCATTTTCGCTAAAACAATTTTTGAATTTTGAACCTCTTTAATATACGAAAAAAAGTCAATCCTCTTGCCATTTTTGAAATATAAAAATCTATTAAATTTAAATTTAACAAAAAAAAAGAAATTCACTCTTTTTGAAAATGAGATAGTGTTTTACAGTTTTAAAAATTTTCATAATATGTATTATGTCAAAGGTTTCTAGTAAAAGAAGATATATTATGATTTTTTTAAAGTGTTCTTTAAACATGTACATGGTTACATTAGTTATTAAAAAATTTATGTATTTTGCTATATTTTAATTATATTTTGAACTCTTTGAAATGTGTTTCAATTGTATTGGTATAATATGTTGAACTGGTGATTTAATTATTATCTGCTGACTGAAAAAAAGCAAGTTTGCTGAATATATAGAAAAGATGAATATTCATTGAGTAATTGAAAGTAACTTTTATTTAGCGAGGAACCATACCCCTAGCGATAAAAGCCATATAATAATTCTAGGATACCCCTAGCTTTAAAAGCCATATAATAATTCTTCATCAACATCCACTTTTTCCTGGATGTCCTTCTCGAAAATAGGCTTTGAGAATTTGTTTTCATGGGAGCTCTTATCTTTTATTAACATTTAGGGATATTTCCTGACGCTTCACTAAATTGTGAAGTGAGATACAATGTCTAACTAGCTCATTCGTGTTGTCATTATTATTATAATTTTATTTTATATAACTGTCGTTGAATAGCCGACCTAATTTTGGAATTACAACTACTGAAGTTCAACTCCATAGTCTTGTATTTTGAAACCAATCAAGGAGACAAAGGAGCTCTTGGATCAAGTATTGGGAAAAAATTGCTTTCGTGGAGGTCTTTTTGATAGAGTTAATCCGCATTTTGCGTCAAATAGAGCTGAAAACTACGAAAACTTCCCATGGTTAACTTAACGTGAAGGGAATAATTCGGCTCTGTTATTATTATAATTATTTAATGAATCACTTTATATACATCGTCTAGCAAAAATCCAAAAATAAGCTGTAGTCAGCAGCTGTATACTTTCTAACCAGAAGTAGATCTGGTCAAGAGCTCGAGATTGCTATTATTTAGATTTATTTTGAAAACACCATCCATAGATGGAAGGAAATGAATAAAAGAATTATTTACTCAAAAAAGATAATGAGACCCGTAACATTAATAATGATGACAACCAAATACCAAAAACGTTTATACTAAAATTCCTCCGATTGTCATAAAAGATCAAAAATTCTGTTGGGAAGATTTTAGCCAAAGCCTTAACGAAAATAATATCAATGACAACACAGGAAAAAAATAACAGTGCTTATTTCACCATTAACACTAGTACTTAGACGAATGTAGAATTATAACATTATTAAAAACGAAAGTATCAACTATTATCCATATAGCATGTCTGAATAACGTTCATTTTGAGTTATACTAAAGGGAGTCCCAAAGGAATAAATTCAATAGAAGTGCATGAAGAATTACATGTAACAAAATCAAGCGGTATTAAACGCTACCCAAATATCCAAATGTTCAGAAGGAGTAATTGGATCAAGATTCCAATCCCTACATTTATACTGACATTAGACAAAAACCTGTCGAGCTGTAAGAATATATTCTACTTGTAATTTATTTTCTGAATATTTGTACGTAATGAAGAATACAGGAAATCTAACAGACCTACACAATGCCACAGATGCCAAGGCATCTTCCGCGGACAGAGATTGTGTAATCATCCAGCACGATGCATCAAATGCGCAGATTGTCATACTACAGCTGATTGCATAAACCCACCTGAAGAGAAACCAAAATGCTCACCCCGCAAATTACAGCAAATGTTCCAAATATGAAAATCTAATTGAAAAAATCCAAAATAAATCCGACAATAGAAAATCATTCGACCAGCAAAGAAAATTCAACTCAAGTAACTCAAGACCAGGTTTCAATTAAACCAGCGCAGTTAAAAATAGTCTACAAAATCAGGTACAATTAAATCCATTATATTACTCCCTCAATAAGCAATAGAAGCCAACAATAAGCTTACTAAATGCTTTTCTTCAAAACCAAATTACTACCTACTCTGTCACAGATGAAAAATCAAGGAACCCAAATAGTTAATCATGAACAATAGAAAATTATTTATCTCCTTACTATCACTCTTTGGAATGGACTTATTACTCTTTGGACTTATTAACTAAAGTCGCAGAATTCTTCGATTGCACAGCAAATTATAATCCTGACATCAGAGCAGTCACGGAAACTCACGCCAATCTAAGTAGCAGATTGAAAATTCCTAATTACAACACTCTCAAATGCGATAGAATCCTATGTACAGGCGACGGGAACTCAATCTTCATTCACAAAAAATA